TTCATCTCAGTGTTATTTTATGTGAGGGAAGCTGGCTACCACAGTGTGATGACAAGATTTCCATGTAGCAGGAAACCCAACAGCCATGTCTCTTTCTTAGTATATCCTCCAGGCCCAATGAGACATCAAATGATTTAACACTGAAAGATCCTAACCCTTCAGGCTTACACCCCCAAGCTCCAGGAAATGAGAAACTAAAAATCTAGTTCCAAGGGCAAGCTGACTCAATCATTATTCAACCACCCCTGTCACAATGTAACAACGTAAAGAGATCTCTGTTAAGAGATGCACTCAACTGTGACTGGGATAATTGCAAGTGTTCCAGGAAGGACTACTGTGACCTTTGTGTAAACTCCACTCCTGCCCTGATACCCACCTTGAGGTTTTGGGAAGAATGTACATGCGGACGTGACTGTATCCACTCTGTGATCAGACCATGATCTTGTGAAACAAAATTGTATGGGAATTGTAATCTTATGGCTTTTGTGGGTTTTCCTTTAAAAGTACCCATGTGATTGCAATTGGTGCGACTCTTGCTCTTTGGAGCTGAGTTATCTTGTCTGTTCAGTCACTTCTTCATTAAACCTCGTGCTGTTGCATCAACTGGACCAGAGTCTGGGTTCTTGGGGCGCCCACTTGAGACCCTAAACTTTGGGGTTTAACAACACCATGAGAGACCCTGGACCAGAAACACTCAACTAAGCCATGGAAATTATGAGATAATAGGTTTTACTATTGTTTTAGAATATTAATCATTTTTTAAAAAATATTTATTTATTTATTATGTATACAATGTCTTCCTGTATGTTTGCTGCAGGGCAGAAGAGGGCACCAGATCTTATTACAGGTGGTTGTGAGTCACCATATGGTTGCTGGGAATTGAACTCAGGACCTCTGGAAGAGCAGTCAGTGCTCTTAACCACGGAGCTATCTCTCCAGCCCTGGGTAATCTGTTATATAACAATAAATATATATTCCAGTTTGGAACCATTACATATAATTTTGATTTGAACATAAGGGTTCAATAAATATGAATAATTCAATGAAAACTATAATTGAAAACATGTAGCAGAACGGTGAACTTGACTTAATATAATAGTCATGAATCCATCATACCTATATTACCTGGGAAAGTTGTTTGAATGAACTTTTTGAACTCTGCTATTTTATCTTCATCCTTAGCAATATTGATCTTTACTGTTAGGGTGTATACATGACCAAATCTCTTTCTGACGTGCTGGGGGCTGCCGAGGCAGGTGAACCTCCCTTTCAGCATGATGGCCAGCCTAGTGCAGAGTGCCTCACATTCTTCCATTCTAGGAGGAAAAAGAAGACATGTCTGAGGACACTCTTCCAGAGAATAAATTCAAATAGCTAGGGTTGGAAGACTTAGAACTAGAAGCCTTGGCATTACAGATGGTCACCACTAAGATCGTATTTGGGAAGAGGAGGACATTTGGAAATTTAAAGCAGTCCCTATGTAAATCCTCATTAAGTTACCTAGCTAGTATTTTCTCTCAGTTCTTGATTCCATCAGTCAACTGAGCTCTCATTTAGCAAGTTCATCCCCAGTTACTTCTCTGAGGTTCTACCTATTCTTATGTAAGTTTACTGACTCATAGTCCTGGCTGAAATGAATTCCATCCTACACCCATTGCAGCTCCTTCTGGTTTCTAACCGAGCCTCCAATGGCTCTTACCTGTGAGAAGTTATGATGATAGCTTTACCAGTCTTACAGATCCATGTAACTGTGTCCCACAGCAGATGCTGAGCTACTGGGTCCATGCCAGTGGACGGCTCATCCAGGAAGACAACCGAAGACTTTCCCATTAGGGCAACAGCGGTACTTAGCCTGCGTTTGCTTCCACCACTCCGTAACGTGAGGAAGAAAGAGTAATATATATGCCATTAATTAATAGGAGAATCTGTACATTCAGAATTCTGTGGTAGGACTCAAAACTGATGATTCGTGCGTGCGTGCGTGCGTGCGTGCGTGCGTGTGTGTGTGTGTGTGTGTGTGTGTGTGTGTGTGTGTGTGTCTCCATGGAGATATAGGGGCTCTTATTTTTAATGCCAAGATTGTTCAAACATGCAAAAGGCTAACACCATCCAAGTGGGACATGCTGTTTCCTGATGTCTGAGCCTTGGCAGAATAATATGTTATTTCACAGTCACTACCTCCATGTGCCAGAGAGGTAGCAATGGGCTTTGTGGGCATTCATTTGAAACAGCAGAGGCACAGGATAGGTCACTTAATAGCAACGACACGATGTCTCACCTGTATGTGTAGATAAACTGGTCAGCAAAGTGTTCCAGGTGCACTGAATGCAGAAAGGTTTCCACATACTTGTTAATATCTTCCTCTGGGACCCCCCACAGCCTCGAGTACATGATTAGCAGTTCCCGGCCTGTCATGTGGTTCAGCACAGATTCAGACTGAGGACAGTAACCAATTCTTGACCTAATCTGAATCAAGAGGGTAATTATGAGCAGTCAATTCATGTCAGCTATTCTGTGGAGCATAAATCTCATAGGGATGAGGTATAAGATATGAAGCTATTTAACTCACACTACTGATAACTCTGATACCTCTACAACTCCCACTAAGAATGGTTTGTTCTTTTACCTTCATCTCCTTTACAGATGGAGTTCAATGAAGTAAAATAAAGTATCAACATCACTAGCTGGAATTTTCAATATATAGGTACATATATATGCATATTACTACTATGTGCCTTGAGTGTTTGAAAGTAAGCTTTGTTAATATTCTAATTGAAGTATTTTGTTTATAGCAATGGTCAGGTAACTTTTGTCAGATCTCACAGACAGGAATTATATGTTGCCTATCAATATACAAAGTACATAGGAGAATATATTTTTTTAAATTTATTTTTATTTTTTTTGCATTGGTGTTTTGCTGCATGTATGACTGTGTGAGGATGTCAGATCTTGAGTTACAGACAGTTGTGAGCTGCCATGTATGTGGGTGCTGGGACTTGAACCCAGGTCCTCTGGAAGAGTAGTCAGTGCTCTTAACCACTGAGCCATCTCTCCAGCCCCAGGAGAATATATTTTTATGTATTTAGCCAAGTTAATGCTCAAAGAATTAAAGCAATATATCACTTCATGACTAATGTAGAGTAAAATTTACAGTGTGAATTCAGCCATTTCAGATGCTTGTCAAAATACTTAAAATTCTTTGAAGGGGATATAATGGAATTAAAACTCTCCCAATGCATTATTAATAATATCCAGAATATAATCTAAAATTAATTGGCAAAAGATGTATGCAAATGACCCACACTTCAGTGAACACAGTAGAAACGGGCACTCAAATAGCCACAATATTGGAATAATCAGATACAAATGGGGAAAAAACTCTTACAACTATGCTTAAATGAGGATAATGAAAAAAGGCTGTAATTTAGATGAGTAAGAAAACATCATAGAAAACAAAACAACAACAAAGAAACCAATGAAAGTTTCTGAGCTAAACCTTTTGGTTGAGGGTTGGAGAGGTGGAACAGTTGGCAACATGCTTTCCATTCAAGCCTGAGGACTAAAGTTCAGACCCTTAGTCCTCACATAAAAAGCTGGGTATGCCAGTTGGTGGGCAGGTAAATCCTGAAGGCTTGCTGGCCAGGAAACCTAGCCAACTGGTGAGCTCCAGCTTCAGTAAGACACTCTGTCTCAAAAATTAAGGTGGAGAAATGACTGAAGAAGACACTTGACATCGACCTCTGGCCTTTCCAAACACAACTGTGTGCATGTGTACCCATACACGTGTACATTCATATGAACATGTGTACACAAATAAAATAATTATGTCAGGAATAAAAACTTGATAAAATAGAACTAACATGAGGTTGGATGTAATTTGAAGATGAAACAATATAAACTAATCAGCATGTGTATGTGTACACTCATTCAAATAGAAAATATGTAGGAAAATGAAGAGAGACACAGGACTTCTGGAGTGCCAGATCAAAGGGATGAGCATATGTAGAAACAGATCTAGGAAGGGACCAGAAAGAACAGGAAAATGTGTATTTTTTTTGAGTGTCTCTGAACTGAAGAACTGTAAGAAATTAATAAAGAAAGTGTTAACAATTAAGAAATGTATAAAAGATACAAATAAACTAGTATCTTTTAAATATTTCCTAAAGTTATATAGTTCCACTCATAATAAAGGAAAAGAAAAAACTGCTCAAGTAGTATTTTTAAAAATGGAATACACTAAAAACAAAAAAGAAAAGATGAGTCAAAAATTCTGTTGTGGTAAGTGCAGGGGAACAGACACAGTCACACACTGCCAATGTGCAAATTCACATGCAAGGAAAGCGATTGGTAAGGCTGAGAAGATGGTGTATGATACACAACCATATTCCAGAAAAAATGAAAACAGACCCTTGTAGATGACTGCATAGGAAGGATGTTTGTAGAATGATAAAGTGGTTACTATTTTTTGCATGCAGGAAAGAATGAAGCAAAGTTAGGTCTAAGAATGTCTGAGCCTTGCTAACTGTACACCACTTACACTGTTTTCATTTATGCCTTAAGTAATGAATACCTTCTTTGTTCAGTTTTTGTTGCTATATATTTTTAGACTCCCTGCCCTGCCTTGAGGTAAGCATGCTCTAGTTGCTAAGTTACAGCTCTGTCTTGGTTATCTACTGACACCCCAGGTATAATTCTTCACTTTCTCTTGGTTGCACATGTGGCTTTCTTCAAACCCGTATATACATTTTATCTCTCAAACCTGGCTTGTCTATGTGTCACACCACTGTACTAGGCTTCAGAGAACTCCACTGGACACTTTTTTTTGCAATTAAATAATATTGCAGTTTATAAAAAACACATAAAAAATTTCAACTCTTATTCTGATTCATGATTTTTCATGTAATTATTTGCATAACTCTAGTAATGCTCAGTGGCTGTAAGATCAGAACTGGTTCTTAAAAAAAACACTAAAAACATAAAAATACTTAAAATACTTAGCCCCTGTAGAATATGTTCATTTATGCTTACATTCCAGGATTTGCTATATTACTTATAATTTTAAAGGTCAAACTCAAAGGAGAAAGTAAACCACCTACAAACTGGCATTATTTGTTTATTTCTTGGCTTGTGAACATCCTTAATTTGTTGATGTAGTAAACAAATTTCAACTCTGCTATACAAATGACAGAAGGAATCTGCTCAGCAATTAACTTTAAAGTTCAATTTCATACAGGCAACATGCTATATGTGGAAAAATGACTAACTGAACTACAGGTATTAAATGCTGAAAAAAGGAACAGTTTATTATAATTTATTCTATTTAACAATCTAGGAAGTTGGCAGCCATAAGCAGCTCCAGTGCAATTTCAGGTGCATTTGGGAATTCAGGAATCTTGGTGGAACTGTTAGTGTAGCGGACCTTGTAGGTAAAATACATGCATACTTTCGACAGCACGTGCAAAGGTATCTCTCTGAAACTGACCTCATTGGTTTCATTCTCAGCAAACTGCCCCGGTCCACTCAACACGGCCTTTATTGTTCCTGATGTTAACACATGTTCTCTTTTTACAATAAATTCATGCCCATCAGAAGATATTAATTTGACATACATGGCGTCAGGGCCTTCACAGCCACCGTAGGCTTTCCCCTCTCTATCCATTATGTTCCTATGAAATTCTACTTGATCCCACAGGAACTTTAGTAGCTTCCTGGCAAGGCGAAGACACAGTCTGCAAATAACTTGTGTCTGTAGGAAGTGCATTGTTGTTCTCCTCCACTGGACACCTTATGAGCTGAAAGTGCCCAAGATCACCAGTCAATTACTTTCTTGAAAGTTTATTTCTTATTTGGCTTGAGAGAGAAAATTTTATCCAGGTTTTCCCTCTGACTCTCCAATTTTCATGGTTCTGTCTCCAGTTCCTTTATTCTGTAATTCAGTGTTGATAATCCACCAAATCAAGTCCATATTCTTTCTGTTGTACACATTTCTGATAGACGGTCTTATCTACTTTCACAGATTAAGTTTCATCTGCACTTTGATAAACCCCAAATTCATATCACTTCCCTATCATGAGTTCATACTGTTCATTGTATGCTCCCATTTAGATGCATCATAGATGCCTCAAGACCCAAATGCCCTCCAAACACACTCTCTCAAGATATTTACTCTCTTGGTGACTGGAGCCTTCACCTTCAGAAGTTTATCATAGAAATCTGGGTGCCATCCTCACTTCGTTCTTTAAAGCTTACATCCCAACAGAGCTGAATCCTTTCAATCCTTTCCGTTTCTCACAATCATTTTTTTTAGTTAGTTGTACTTCCAACCCTATGTCAGAGCAAGTTAGGTGTGAGAGCTGTTCACCTTCAGTTCTGTCTATTTGCAGATACTTATTCTTTGTTTCATGGGAAAGAATATGTTCCTTTCCTCAAACTCAGTATGGCCATGGAGTCTTTCAATTCTAATAAGTGAGGTTTTATGTATCAGGGTCCTTAGTGTCCCTGTCCCCCACCAGGTTCCTCAACAATTTGCCCATGTATCTCCTTCAAGACATTAAGTCATTGGCTAAGAAGAGAAATACCTTTCTTGGATTTCCAGCGACACTGTTGCCATCAATCAACGCAACTCCAGAGGTGATAGCTTCTTCTCCAGTCAGCATTTTGAATGTAGTAGTTTTTCCAGCTCCATTTAATCCAAGCAATCCAAAGCACTCTGATCTCCTGACTGCAAGGGAGATATTTCTCACAGCCTTGACAACAGGACACTTAAAATAAATCTGAGAAAGTTAAAAAAAAAACACACAACAACTCACAATGTCTGAGACACTGGTCATGAACCACAGCTATTACCTCAGACTCCTAAAGCTAACAAACTGACAATCTCATAAGAACACTTCCCTTCCAGCCCTCTGCAGAACTGCAGTGAACAAGGACTGCACTGGTCAATTCCAGGCAGGGATGCTTAAACTCCAAGGCAGCTAGCCAGGAAGTGACATTACCTTTGTAACTTCTTTAAGGACCAGTGGGGTTTTCTGTGACCTGAGCATCAGTGTGAGGACTTTCCTTCTTTCTCTCCTTATGTCCTCATCCTCGTCTTCTTTGATTCCCTGGTTAGATATTTTCAAGACCAGGAGTACACATGAGGGCATTCTATAGAGAACTGGTTTAAATCAACAGCTTTAAGAAAGCTAACCTGCAGGTATAATCTCAAAGATATGAAGAAGTACTGAAGCAGTTTCTAAGACCCTTTCTCCCTGTTTCCTAAACTCTCACATGCAAAAACATACTTCTGGTCGGGACCATTTTAGAAGAGTATGGCAGCCGAGGAGAGTCAAAGACACAATTCTCTGAAACTACTGTTATGAACATTTCGTAAGAGCCAGGGGCAGTGGATAACTACAAGGAAGCAGTTATTTCTGGACACAGTAGGGCAGGTGCACACAGGAACTCACAACAGTTGTGACAACATTCACAAGGCCGGAATAAACTTAATCCAGACAAAATCCCAGCATGGAGTGGGGGTGGGTGGGAACAAAATCCCAACCTAGCTGAGTAGCTTAAGGTAACTGATAGCTTCGAGGAGAGAGAATTCATTTTCTTTAAGGGTGTGATCCCAGGTAGGTTGTCCACGTTCTAATGGAAGGCTACACATCCAAGAATATTTGGGCAGCACAAATTTGACCCAGTAATCTTAAAAAATAAAAAGAGGTCACAAAGTTGGGTGTGTATGGAATGAGGGCTGGATCTGGGAGGAGCTGGGGAAGGGGAGGGGATATCCTCAAAATACAATGTATAAAATTCTCAAAGAAAAAGAGTTTCTACATTTAGAGTGAATAGTATATTCTTACTAGCATAAGGACAATTATTTCAGTTGTAGCTAACACATGAAAAATGACTTATTTCCTAGAGGAGTAAACCCAAGCTAAGATACACCTCAAACAAGCCACCGATCTGTTTTGGTGTAATCAAATTACACTTTCTTTAAAAAGTAATGGAAATGAGAAAATGTAAATTCCTGTTTTCTGACTGAATGTTGTGCTTTCATTAAATTATATTTAAAGCCTAGTTAGTTACTTACTTGCCTGCCTTTTCTGAATTTGTTGTAGAAATAAAAAATAATGTTACGAAAGACAAAGTTCCTTAGGTTCCAGGAAATAGTCTCCAGATATAAAAGCAAGAGGAGAAAAACTAAACCCATGGCAGCCAGTGTGATCAGAAACTTCCCAATCCCACGCTCTTCAAAGCCATACACATTGTTCTGAGTATCTGAGGACACAAGAGAGACAGTCACCTTACTTTAAAAACCAGCACGGCATTGAAAACAGTGCCAACAGTAAGACATACAGGAAAGAAAAGATCTTTTCTCTTTGTTTTTTTTTTTTTTTTTGAGACACTCATGTAACTGAGGCTGGCCTTCAACCTGCTGTGTGGTTGAGGATGGTCTGAAATTCTTGACCTTCTTTCTATCCCAAGTCCTAGATTCATAGGTATGGACCTGCTCAAATGAGTTTTAAGTTAGATTTAATAAGTATAAGATATAGCAAATAAGTAACTGTCTTGCTATTTTACTTGACCTTCTTGATGTGGTTATTTATAGTTGTTGATCTTTTATTTTCCCTCTAGCTTTTTTGTTCTCTATTTCGGCACGGAGCATTGACCCAGGCAGGGACTCAGACATATAGCTAGTGCTCTACCAGGAAGCCGCACCTGGGTGGCAGTCCTCCTCCCTCCAAGAGTAAAGATTAAACAAACAAACAAACAAACAAACAAACAAACAAACAAACAAACAAATAACTACAGACTCTTCTCTTTTCTCCCCTGAAAACTGAAATGACCACACATACATGTTTTAACTTGTGGACTCTCTTATTCTCTGAATCTCTCCACCCCACCCCTACTCCCAGGATCTTTTGTAGTCTAGGCTAGCCAGAAAATGATAATGCAGTCAAAGATGGCCCTTTCTTAATGCTTTTAAGCACTGGTTTGTATTTCTCAATGTGGAACCTTTCACTAAATTTATTCCCAATTATGCTAATTTTGATGTTAATATAAATGAAATTGTTTTATCTACTTTCAGAGTGTTTATTGCTAGTACACAGAACTATTTAGCTTGCTTTTGTGTGTGTTGCTCTTATATTCTGAAACTTTGTTAAATTTGTCCATTAGGTCAGTTTGAATATATCAACTGAATTTTCTATCTATCAAATCATGCCAGGTTGGGTGTTCTACATGTACTTGCTAGGTCCAGTTGGTTTAGGGTGTTATTCATATCTTCTGTTTTCTTTTTGGATAGCTTTTCTCATTGAGTATGAAGTGCTAATGCTAGGCATATGGTGCACGCCTTTAATCCCACACTTAGGAGGCAGAGGCTGGTGGATCTCTGTGAGTTCAAGGCCAGCCTGGTCTACAGAGTGAGTTTCAGGACAGCCAGAACTACAAAGTGAGACCTTGTCTCAAAAACAAAACAAAATCCAAAATAAACAAACAAAAAAATGTATGGAGCGCTTAAAGTCTTCAGCTATTAGTATATAACTATCTTCCCTTTAGCTCTACATTTTGCTTAATATATTTTTGTGCTTTTTGAATTTTAATATATTCTTGATGATGTGACACCTTTATCTGGATAAAAATTTGCTTTTACACCTCATAAAATTTTGACCTAAGATCTACTTTGTTTTATATTAGTATAGTCAGTGAAGTTGTTTCAGCTTTTATTTACAAAGAATTCTTTCTTTTTCCATTTTTATTTTTAACCTATTTATATCTTTGTATCTAAGGCTCTTAAAGACAGAATATACTTGAATCATTTAAAAATAAATTCTGAATATGTATGCCTTTTATTAGAGAATTCAATTCATTTATGTGCAAAGTACTGATAGGGACTTGTGTCTGTCATTTTTTCATTTGCCTTCTATGTCATATCCTTTTGGTTCTTCAGTTCTTCCATTTCTGCCTCATTTTCTATTGTTTTGTTGTTGTAGAACAGTTTGGTTCATTTATTATTTCTGTGTATGTTACTTTCTTAATGATCCCCATGAGGACTGCAACCAATATTTTGTTTGTTAGATTTTATTCAAAAATGATTTTTTTAAGAAAGAGAGAGAGAGAGAGAGAGAGAGAGAGAGAGAGAGAGAGAGAGAGAGAATGTGTGTGTGTACAGTTAACTGCAGAGACTAGAAGTGTGGGATTTATGTGAAGCTGAATAGAGAAAAAGGCAGCTGTGAGCTGTCCAATGTGGTTGCTTGGAATCACTGGGTCCTCTAGAGGAGCAGTGTGGACTCACTGAGCATCCCTCAGGGCCCAGGCTGTGATTAACACAAACTTATGTGAAAAAGATTAGTTTGAATTAATATCAATTTATCTTCAGTAGTAAGTACACTCTGTTATCATAGTTTTATAAATCTCCCATCATGGCTGGGCATGGTAGGTCATGCCTGCAATCCCAACATTAGGGAGGTGGAAACAGGAGGATTAGAAGTTTGGGGTCATTCTTGTCTACACAGAGAGTTCATTGCCAGCCTGTGCTACATGATAATCTGGTGCAAAGAACCCAAAACAAAACAAAACAAACAAAAGCCTTAAAGCAGAGCAAAACCAAAACTATCCCTAATGGTATTGTTTTCATGAATTATAGCTGTAGATACTGTGTAGCCATTAATATAGATTTTAATTATTGTTATAGTATTAGTTCTCTAAAACACTTTTGGGGGTGGGAAACAAGCAGATTTAATCCAAAATGCAACAACACTTTGATGGTTTTGTGTGTGTGTGTGTGTGTATGTGTGTGTGTGTGTGTGTGTGTGTGTGTGTGTGTGAGAGAGAGAGAGAGAGAGAGAGAGAGACAGAGACAGAGACAGAGACAGAGACAGGGTCTTTTCACATAGCCCTGGCTGTCTTGGAACGCACTATGTACACCAGGCTGGCCTTGAACTCTAGAGATCCATCTGCCTCTGCCTCCTGAGTGCTGGGATTAAAGGTGTGCACCACCATACCCAGCTTTTGTGTTGCTTTTTAATAGCATCTTTATTTCATCACAAGGCTTCAATTTGTTGTCTAATAGCTTTTTCTTTCAGTTGATTTTCATTTAGCTTTTGTTTGGTAGAACACTATACTAGCATAAAATTTTCATTTATTTGCAAGTATCTTAAATTCCCTTTCTTTATTGGAATAATGTTTTCTTTTCTGGATATAGACTATTT